AGATCTATATACGTTAAGTTAACTTTGCTCTCCTCTCATAAAACTACCTCATCTGCCACTCATTGCCACATCATATTTTCATTTAATCTTTTTCTAATTTTAAATTTGATACACTATTTTTTCATAAAAATTTAATACACACACTAATTATACATTTGGTTTTAACATTATTAAAAGAATTTGAAAATTCATTATTCATATTCTAAATTAAACAAAAAAACTAAAAAACTTATATAAATATATTTAAACTAAATAAGAAAATTTTTAATAAATTTGGTTATTCTAATATATTTCAAATTTATTCAATATTTAATTAGGTTAAATTTCTTCGAAAATATTAACAAAACTAAAATATCAAAGAAAAGTAAATAAAATCAAACTATACTTAAAATAATAATTGCAATTATACATAACTAAGTGAAAAGGAAAGTAAAAGCAATTCAAAAAAAAAATTTAAAACTAAAATCGTTGTGTTTTGTGAGCTTTTTTTTAACAAAAAATAAATAAATTTAAATGTAACTATAAAGGAAAAGAAAATAAAAGCTTTGTAAATACAAAAATTACAAAGGAAAATATAATATAAGTTTTAAAATTAAAGTCGTTGGGTTTAATGATAATAAATTTAAATGTAACTATAAAGGAAAAGGAAATAAAAGCTTTGTAAATGCAAAAAATATTTATCACACTACGAGAAAACCGGGTCGTTTTCGACGGCCAAAACCGTCGGAAATCCGTCGGAATAACCCCTATTCCGATGGCTTTCCGACGGTTTTGGTCCGTCGGTTCTATCTCGTCGGAAATAAAAATCCGTCGAAAATCCGTCGGAAATACTGATGGTATTCCGACGGAAAAGGGATAACCGGAATCCGTCGGAATTTGGTCGAAAGTCCGTCGGATTCCAATCACCGACGGAATTCCGACGGCATCATTTACCGACGGAGTTCCGACGGCCAAAACTTCCGACGGATTTTCGACGACGGTGGTAACCGACGGATTTCCGACGTAACTTTTTCCGACGGCTACGCAAACCGACGAAATTCCGACGGATTTATTATTTTAAAAAA